CATAAAATTTAGTTCAAGAGCAATATCACAAAATAATTTTAAATTGAGCATAGTTTTAGAATTTCCGATACACAGTTTCACAGGCTGGAGATAAAAATGTTTTTTCTGTACAATGCTGCCATCGCTTGCTTTGAAAACCTTGAGTCTGTTAATCAAAAATTTGTTAAAGTTTTACAAAATATGAAATCAATGATAAAACAAATTCCATATTTCAAATTTGGGCTTCCAGATGCCCATATTCGCAGTAGGATGTGTCATTCAAAATTTGATGGTTCTAGGCACCATTGTTTTTATCACAATTCGAGAAACATACACACATTTATGCAGATTCTTCATTATTTAATTTCTTCAAATATAACACAGGCAATAATATTTGGTGGCAATGATCTGAAAAGTGATTCAGCCTTTTAAAGGTTTTTACAAAAAATTAATAGTTCTTCAGGACAAATTGCCACTTTGGAGTAAAATTATTATGAATTAAATTGCAGAAACATATCCTCCTTTGAAATAAGACCCTTGTGCAACAACACACTGTCTCCCAATGCCTGTAAAGTTCATTGAAGCATGTCTGGAATCCATTTTCTTTAATTCAGTCTACGAAGCACATTTAATTTCATTTGAAGATTGAAATCTACGACCCTGCAAGCCTCTTGCCAGATTAGGAAATAATAAGAAATTGCAGGGTGTGAGATCAGGTAAGTAACAAGGATGAGGCAAAACAGTTGTTTTCGTTTTTGCAAGAAAGTCATCGACGAGTAGGGATCGGTGAGCAGGAGCGTTGTAATGCAACAGCACCCATTACTGCTCAACCCCTATTTTTGGTCTCTTCTTCTTGATCGACTTGCGCAAAAGACGCAGGATTTTGATCTAGAGTTCTTTGTTCACAGTTCATCCTTCAGAGATAAATATCAGATGCACAATGCCCTGGATATCAAAGAATACCTCTAACATGACCTTTCCTTCAGAACGATCTTGGCGAAATTCGATGTGTTGGCCCACCCTATGCATGTTAAAACCCTTAGTCAGTATCCGCTGACATACGACCTCTGATATCCCAACTGATTCCGCTATTTGGCAAATTGTTTGCTGCCTGTTTGCACATACTGCCACAGATATCTATTTTATGTCTCCATCGATGCGTAAAGTCATGGGACGGCCAAAGTGTTCATCGTCTTCGGCATTTTCCCTGCCTTTCCTGAAACGATGATACCACTCAAAAGCTTGTGTTCTCAATAACATTTCACTTCCATACACAAGCTTCAACATTTTGAAAGTCTCTGTAGCACTCTTTCTCAAGCGAACACAAAATTTGATATTGATTCTCTGCTCAACTGATGGCATTTCTTTCTATCACCAGTTACTAAATGCACTTGTCTACAAGAAATGCTGTTGACGCAAGTTTTTGGCCACATGATTTGGGACAAATCACTTTCAGAAAAGAGAGAGAACATAGTAACACAAAAACGTTCTCGTAGTCGCACTACTGCAAAAAATCTTTACATTATAGACTCAGTCCGGGAACTTTTGAATCCTACAACATATATACTAGTCTCAAACTTCATTAGGAAAAATTGCTAGAAATTCTCAGGGTATACAAAGAAATATACAATATTTTAAATTCAATGTAAAAAAAAAAAAAAAAAAAAAAAAAACTCTGAAAGTTTTTGTATTTTAAATTATGTCCAAAGGGGCTTTTTTTTAACGTTTTGTGTGTTACTTTTATTTATTAAATATCATGTTCTTCGCGCTTAAACCATAAAATTCAGTTCAACAGCAATATTGCAAATAATTTAAAAATGAGCATAGTTTTAGAATTTCCGATACTTAGTTCCACGCGGAGATAAACAGTCCCTTTGTACAGTGTTGCCATTGCTCGCTTTTAAATCACCGAGTTTGTTAATCTAAAAGTCTCGTTAAAGTTTTACAAAATATGAAATAGATAATAAAACAAATTCCAAATTTGGGCTTCGAGATGCCCATATTCAGGTAGATTCAGAACTGGATGGCTCTAGGTACTACTGTTTCATCACAATGTGAGAAATGTACATACATTTATGCAGATTCTTCATTGTTTAAATTCTTCAATATAAATTACAGGATATATTTATGCCAACAATTGAAAGAAAATCAGTTTATAGTGAATATTCAAATTGCCCATGTAAACTTAAAAAAAAAAAAAAAAAAAAAAAAAATTGCAACCAAATAATTCTGCAAAAATGCAAAAATCACACAAAAACGTTCTCTAGTCGCACGACTGCAAAAATCTTTACATTATAGACTCAGTCCGGGACTTTTGATTACAACAATATATCCTATCTCAACTTCATTAGCCAAAATTGCTAGAAATTCTCAGGGATCCAAAGAAATAGACAATATTTTAATTCAATGTAAAAAAAAAAAAAAAAAAAATCGTCTCGCATTTTCCCCTATGTCCTAAAATTTTTTAACGTTTTGTGTTTCAAAATTTATAAATATCATGTTCTCTGCGGTTACCCTAATTTCTTCAACATCAATATTTCAAATACCAGTTACTAAAGCAAGTTTTAGAATCCGATACATATTCCACGCGGAGAGTAAAAGTCCTCTCAGTCGCATTGCTGCTTTTAGATCACCGAGTTTTGTTCTCAAAGTCTCGTTAAAGTTGACAAATTCTAGGCGTATAAAAAGAAATTCAAATTTTAAATTTCAATGTCCTCACAACGTGCAAATTGCCCATGTAACTTAAAAAAATGTCAAACTTAATTTCAAAAATTTAATGTCCTGGTACATTATTCAGTCCACTTTGTACTAGTTTTAGAAATTCTCGTACAAAGATAAAAAAAAAAAAAAAAAAAAAATTGAAGTTTTTGTATTTAAATTATGTCTAAGGGGCTTTTTTTTTTTTGTGTTTACTTTTTTTATTAAATATCATGTTCTTCGCGCCTTTTAAACCATAAAATTCAACAGCTTGCAAAAATTTAAAAATGAGCATAGTTTTAGAATTTCCGATACAATTCCCGCGGAGATAAAGTCCCAGGTTGCCATTGTCGCTTTAAATCACCTTGTTAATCTAAAAGTCTCGTAACGTTTTACATAGATAATCCGCCCATATTCAGGTAGAACGTATGTTATTCAGAATGGATGGCTCTAGGTACTAGTTTCTCACATGTGAGAATATACATACATGTATGCTCTCATTGTTTAAATCAAATATAATGGCGATTTAGTGCCAAATTTGAGAAAATCGACATTATAGAACTAACGCAAATGCCAAACTAAAATTTCACAGCATTGCCCATGTAAACTTAAAAAAAAAAAAAAAAAAAGTAAAACCAATAATTCTAACACAAAGATGCAAAAGATCAGCGGTTCTCACCTTTTAATAATGCGACATCTAAACAAAAACTGACCTTAGTACCACCACCATTTTGACATTGATTATCAATTTCTCAATAAACATACATAAAAAATTAGATTGAAAAATTGCTTACTTTTAATTATAAAATTTAAGTTATAATACTTAAAGTTATAATTAAATTATAATTCTAAAATTTGGTGTGAAATTTGTGCCGCTTAACAAAAACAATTTCTTATTCTGGTCTATTTCACTCGTTTTCCGTAGGGATCCACTTTTAATTTCTTCTGTATTTATTTTTTCAATAAGTACAAAGTCCGAATCCGGACTCGTCAGGATTCGGCGACGGATTATAGATCATCAATTTAAATCTGGAGGATGGCATTGGAAATTACAATTAAAATTGAAAACGATTTATTAAATAAAAGCAATTATGATCTAAAGGTTAAATTTACAAAAAAAAAACTTAATATTTATTTGTTTACTTATTAAACATTTCTTTCAATGTAAGTTGTTTAAGTTGCTTCGTTTCTTGTGCTAATAATTTCTCTTTAATTCTATAAACAGACATGATTTCTTGTTCAGTTACAAAGTTCCACTGTTTAAAAGTCCTATAATTACTGTGTCAAGAGTACCGACTAACTTGTCAATCGAACTTTTTTCGTTTTCAATAACCTCTTTGTCACTTTCTTCACTATCGGAAGCGGTATTTTCTGGATCTAGAACCATACAACACATTTCACCGTCCGTTAATTCATTGATGACTGAGGCATTGTCATAATGAAAAACTTGTTACATCATCTTCATTTATTATCACAACTCCACATTTCTTTATAAAATCCAATAACTGGAAAATTTCACCTTTAGTTTGCGATGTCCGAAAACCTTTCAGATTCGCGGCTATCATCTTCATCTTCACCATGAAATATGGTTAGCTGGCCATAAATTATGCCAAGCATTTTTTAACGTATCTTGAGACACATCCTCCCAACACGCATGCGTAAAACATACATAAAAAAGTTTGTGGCTTTGAGGTCGGGATTATAGATCATTCCGGATAATGGACATCCGGATTACATACTTTGTACTGTATAACATAGAAGAAAATTCTTGTTCACACAAATAGATTTTGCAAGAAGGTGATAAAAATTTAATAGCTTTATCTGAAATGCCTTTAAATGCTTTTTTTCGGTTCAGTCAAAAATTAAAAAGTGTTATTTTTTAAATATTCAGTTAGAGTTCGATCTCAGGAAATTTCGGTCAATTGTTCTTTTTCTTTATGAGATTTTTTAATTTAATAGTTGAAAATAGTCTGTTTCTTTGCGTACCACCCATTTTGCTCTTGCGTACCACAGGTTGAGAATCGCTGGATTATATAATTATTGAATGCAGTCATTTCTTTCTTATTCAAGAATCTATAATATTGAAAGAAATATTACCTACAGCATTTCAGCAAAAGTTAATTATATTTTAGTAGCTCAGATTTACATAAAACTTTACAACAGCATGACTTCAAAATTACTAAAGACTAACACTTTCCAAGCTTTGGTCAATCAATACAAAATAAAAAAGACCAACATGTTAGTTACTAAATTATTGATTAAATCACAGTATTATAACTAAGAAACACTTTTAAAAAACACAAATATATTAAAAAGAAACAAACCTAAATACTCTTGATGAAAGTTTTTTTTATGATTTTCGGATTTTTTGCTCTGGAATTCTGTACATCTGCTTAGATCACCACCAAGAGCTTGTATCATTGTGCAAAGTATGTGACAAGTATATGGCCGATCAAGACAGATCAAAAAGTTTTCCACAACAAACAGTCCAAAATCACAAAGCCAGCCCTCGGAATAAGAAACAAGTTTAGCTTCTTCACTGTCTTCATTTACTATAGGTATCTGAATAGGAAGGGGGGAAATAAGTTAGCCATAAAAAGACCATAAAAAGATAATAACACAGTAGGCCTTAAAATCAAAATAATAGTTATTAAATGTGATGTACATTACTTAACTTACTCCTTTTTATTCCTAAAAGTAATATATATATGTAATGAAACTGAGGTTGGATGACACGACATCAATGATTTGTCGTGAATGCGGTAAAACTTGCATTAAAATTTCCGATGAAACAGGACTTTTCTCATGATTCACTGTGAACAAAGCTTAACACGCTTGCTGCGCATCCTGCGTTTTCCACAGGCAACATAGATGTAGCAAAATTTGAGCAACCCGCGATTTCCGCGGAGATGAATTTTTGCCGTCTATTTAACTGTGCAACCCGCTCTTTCCCAGTTCAAGGTTTCCTTTCGGCTTTTCTGTGAAGTTTAATTGTTTATTTAGATGCGGGCTAACAGATGGTGTTAGTTTTCCACATTTCTGCTAAATATACAAGAATACATAATGTTGCATTTTGCGTGCGCTTTTCAGAGTTCAAAGATGTCTGGCACGAAGCATTTTGTGAGTTGATATAACCTATATTCCTGATAATATTTCCGACACTGATAGTAGTTCTGACTCTGATTTCAAATATATTGAAGATAGTTATAACGAAACTGGTGAGAATTTCTCGGATTCTGCAGATAGTGTTGAATCTGAAAATTCAGTTTCTATTGAAAACGTTCGACAGTGGTGCAAATTGATATGCAAAATATTACATTATTATGCAAATATTTTCATTAGTATATATGTTTTACCT